GCAGCTATACAACTCAACCAGGTCTTGCAAGAGTGGCTGTGGGCCTTTCCTTCTAGTCTCATCCCACTTGTTCTGTTCTACCTTGCAATTATATAGCCTAGTGTCATTCACATCACAGGCCTTCTTCATTATGTTAATGACTATCACAAGACTCATATATTTACTCACACCTTTCCTACTACTTGCCTTGAATTTCCCTGAGTTTGGAATGGAAGCAATGTCAATAACTTGCTGCAGATTCACACATCCTCTCTCCCAGTTCTGTTATCATGTGGACTTCTGTGAAATGTGATATCCGCCATGTACAATCAACTCTTCCTAGCTCTTTCCCATGTTGGACCCTCAGACAACTCTATGGTAGATTCCCAAGCCCACCACACAAGAACAACAGGCAACATTCATTATGGACAGTCTGATCATGTTCCCTTTGCTTTTGGAATGACACTTGAACAGGCTTGCAAATGCATGGCCTCCAGCTAGGCATTGCATGCCTTTTATGGGTTAGGCAGTCTGTATCATCAATGGGCTGAGTGCTTACAAAACTCAGTGTTTCTGGCTGACCTGAGGAATGAGAGTCTGGCTCTTAAAGAAGCAAGGGTTCTTGTCAGAGAGACATATGACTTACACTCCTGTTGCTTGAATTACTTAAGATTGTCAAAGCTGTGGAGGAAGTAGAATGCGGAGGCCAGTTTGATTCCCTAAGACACATAGACATCAGCACGATCATTCACTTCGATGAAGTAGCAATACAAGTTCAAAGACATCTTGCTGCACTAAAAGATGACTTTCCTACATCATGGGTGAAACTATGCACCAACATCCATTGGCTCTATCAGAAGCCAGGATTGGCGAGAGAGATGTCTTGGGTTATAAGAGGAGTTCCTGGATGAAGCATCAGTAAATTGACAAGTCCTTGATATGGTAGCTGTGCAAACTATAGAATGATATAACTCAGCTCCTGCTAAGCATAATCATTTATAGTGTGACAAATTTGAGTTGGAAATACATAGCCATCAATGCCTAAAAACTCAGAGTAATATGAGCAGTCTATGACAATGTGATAACATTCCTCCCTTGCAGCCAAGGAGTGGTGGTAGGGTACTGGCGCCAATTATTTTGACCATTGCCATTTGGGAAGGTGCCTTTGGCACTCATAAACAAATGTACAATAGTGTGGGTCCAAGAGGCAGAGAAGGCAGCAGCTAATTGTGTGATTGTAGCATCATCAACAATAGAAAGCGAGATTGAAGGGGAAATACACAAAGCACGAGAGACCTCTGGACTGTATATGCATTCTAATTCTGCAGTGAACAATGTGGCACAATTTCTTGGGCAACCAGGTGGGAGTTGAACAAAAAGATGATCCAGCAGATGTTGGTCTGAAAAGTCTGAGAGGTCACATCATAGATGGGTGAAATGATGTAGAATAGCTTGGACACAGCTGCCCTTGAGGTGGATTTCTGTATGTGCACATTGCAAAGTTTCAGCAGTAGCCTGCAGTACCAGAGCAGCCAGGGCAGTCAAATTCTCTTCATACATTACATCTGGATATGAAAACTAATGAGGCTCCACATTTAACTGCGAAGGAAGGATCATCTCCACAGATAACGGGAGGCTGTGTGATAAGATAGAACACAACAGAAGACACTACAGTGTGTGTACACTGAATTCTCAAAATCCACTGGAGAAAATGACAAGTTCACACTATCAATACAAATGGAAATGGCTATGCCATTCAATAAAATGGACACAGGGTGTGTACAAGGCTGGCATCAAAAACATGACCTACTGTGAGATAAAAGAGTGCACTGTAACCATGAACAGAAGCCTGCACCAGTCAAAAATACATTGGGATGGTACTGCAGATAGTATAACAGATTATAAAACAGGGGATATGAGGATAATGCATGTAATTCATTGTGTGGGGGACAATCTTTAAAATCAAAAACTCGGCAGTATGTGCTTGTGAGTTTGTTCACAAACACCATAATCTAAGACTGCCAAAAAAAATCATCAGAAATAGAGTGTAATGAAAAAGAGCATGAACACACCAAAACAGAAGTGAAGGGCAGGCAGCAGGCAGTGAGAATGACAAAAGGGAGAAGAATATAATAAGGACCAAGGGGACCAATGAGGAGTGGTCTAATTGTGTAGTGAAGTGTTGCCCTTCTTAGACAGATGCATGTGAGACTGTAGTTTGAGACAAAGGCAATATGTTCTAACACACTGAAACAGGAGAAAAAGGCAGGCAGTGGGCAGTGAGAACAATGAATAGGAGAAGAATATAATAAGGAAGTACTGGGGGGAAGAACAATCTAATGTAGTGAGGCATTGCTTTTCTTAAGTGACAAATGCATGTGAGACTGCAGTAGAAGAAACAGCCAATATGTTCCTGCACTGGCAGATTTTCTTGTAGGCGCCTGGCTGTTTTCATCCTACATAACCCTATCTACTCCATAGAGTTGGGGATTATAGTCACTCACTGTACATCACATGCCCATAGCAAAGTGCAGACAGCCTGAGAGTGTGCAATATAGCAATAAGGTCCCACAGCACCCTCATTTAGATGTGCCTACTTGTTGTGAGCACTCTCATACCCCAATCCACTCAGGACTACTCTTCTCCCTTCCTACCTCCATTTGGGCCATATGGTTTTATCTGTGAGATCAGTTCTGCTCTAGTGCCAGTCTGCCTTCTAGGTGGCCATGTGGGGCATAATCACTATAAATGTAGGCTCCCCAACAGAACAACAGTGTATAGAGAGGGCCTAGTCAAGCATCTACTCGATAGCCATGGACTAGTAGCAACAACACCCTGTCCTAGCCCTACTAGTAACCTATCTGGCCCCATCCAGGGCCTTCAGCCACTCTGGTCATCAATGTGCCTACAGTGGCTCAAAAAACTGTCTGCATGTTTTGACATTTTTCACTATCTATGATATTGTGTGAGAACTCACAAATGCCTCAAGGACATGCTTATACTACAATGTAGTATAAGCATGTCCTTGAGGCATTTGTGAGTTCTCACACAATATCATAGATAGTGAAAAAATGTCAAAACATGCAGACAGTTTTTTGAGCCACTGTATGTCATATCCCATATGCCAGACATAGATCCCATCATTATCCCACGCTTTCCGGACCTATTTCCGGACCCCATATCCAACTCATTCCTGGATCCCCTATCCTGTCCACCCTATGCACATTCCATCCAGCAAGACATCTGGACTTTACCTCCTCTTGGATTCTGGACTACATCCACCACCTCACATATCTCAGTCCTGTTTCCACCTGCCTTCTGGATCCCCCGATCTCCAGACTTCCGGATATTAACTGTCCTATCTCTGGACCTATTCCAACCCTCCATCTGAGATCCTGCGCCTATCCCCATTTAGGCATCTCTGCCTTTCCGGTTCTCAGTTATCTCTCTTTCCGTCTTGCTGATTGATCCTTGTACTAGTTTCATCTCTGAGTTCATTTACTTATGTTCCATCTTCCTTACCAATAGTTTCCACATGCTCGTACATAGCCTTACTCCTTTGCTTACTGATCCTCTCAGATATCCTCTAGTATATAACCCCTGTACAACTACAGTAGAGTCCTCAGTTGGAATATCATCTTAGTTCCTGTTCATCACCTTAGGCTTGCCCAATCTTCTTCCAGACTTCAGTCCATCTGAGTTTGTCCTTTTCCATAAGGCCCAGGATAGACTCCCTAGGCTGGAATTCCAGACCTTCGGATTTGTCCCCTATGTCTCTGTCCCAAGTCTAGGGATTGCTTCCCTAGGCTGAAGTCTTGCTTTCTAGCACTTACCCTCTTTCTGGACTTAGGTCCACTTCCTGTCCCTCTAACTCTACCTTAGGGTAGTCTACCTCTGTTTGCTTCTATATTAGACTTTGTCCAATGTAGCCCCTATTCCTTCCGGACCTCTGGACGTCCTGTCCCTCATACCTCTGGGCATCCTAACCTTCGGACATTCCATCCTCCATACCTCCATGTCCTGTCCTCCATACTCCAGACCTCCGGACATCCTGTCCTCCTGTTCTCTGGACCTCCTATCCTTCCATCCTGTTTTCCTGTAGAAGTATTACCATGCAGTGGGAACTCTCCTGAGCACTTCCTGCATTCCTCTGGAACTCTCCCGTGCTCCTCCAGAAGTCCTCCTGCACTCTCCACCAGAGTAGCCAGCCTCCAGACTTTGTTGGACCATCATCGGACTTCCTCTGAAATGAAGGGCACATACTCGGGTAAGGGGCACAGTATACAAGCTAAGGCCAAGCCCCTCTGAGTCAGTCTCTCTCTCCTTTGAGCATGGTTCTTAACAGCCTACCCCTGGCTGCTCCTTCTGGTCCTTGATGCAGATATCGAGAGGTTCCATCAAGAGTCAGCAATTAGGCACTAGAAGCCATGTCACTTCAGTTCATCCTAACCATGTGTCCACTTATCTAACTGACATTTTTGAAACTCAATGGATTTATCATCCATTCAACAAAATTATGGATGCAAATGACCCACTGGTTTCACTTGTCTGGCCATTGGCTAAAAGGTGTACTCTGGTACTTGCCATAGAAGACATACAGAGACCCTCCCCCTTGCAAATGTCCTCGCATTCTACACCAACAACTCCTCTCTACCCCCAATATTTAATGGACCTCCAATGGCCCAATTTCATTGCTAGCTTTGGTGCACAAGTGGACTCTCTTTGTGGGCTGATAAAGCTTATGTCTAAGAAGGAAGCACAATCCTTGAGGGGAGCAGAAAGGCAGCTTTAGCTTGGCCTCATTACTGTTCAAAAGCTCTACAGGTCATATCTAGTTGACATCCAGACCTACTATCTTCCAAAGGCAATGTGCAGTTTTGTCAAGCAGTGACATTGCAGTGAGTACCCTCCTCATCCATTTATATGTAGCTCATGGATTACTCAGCACGAAGGCACACTTCAGAGCACTGAGCCAACTTTCCTACTATACCTACTCAAGACCTCTATCTTGCTGTATCTGTATGCTCATTAGATGGATCCACACAGAGCACACTGGGGCTTTGGCGCCATTTGGCACTCTTCACATTAGATGGAGTCTAGCCCAGGAGTATGCTGCTAACATGCTCTACCATTACCTGATTACAACCAATATTCCCCATCATGCTGCACTTCTCCCACTTCTGCATCAACTGCTTGTGACCCTTGTCAAGCAGAAATTTACAGACTTAGAAATGATGACATGCTCAACAGACTATTCCCTGTGCATGGGCTCACTGGCTGATAATGGCGGCTTTCTACTTGCTTCCACTAACACCAAGACTTGTGCAGTGCTGCAGCACAACTTCTATACCATCATCATCCACTCAGCTTAGCTTGAAGACCATGGTTACCAAAGTTTTATTCCATTTTGTTTATATAATTTCACTCTGGATGCTGTACCAGATACAGGTGAGGCATCTCAGCCTATGGAAAAGTCAACCACTGCTCTGGATGAAAGGGAAGGCACTGGTGATGGTGTGGTGGTTGTGCAATTCCAGGAAGTAGAGGAAGAGTTTGTAGATTGTCATGGGGATGATATGGACTTGGAAGAGGGAGAGTCTATGCTACTGCATAAAGCTGAAGATGAATGGGACTTTGAAAAAAAATAAACTTTTCATTCTTACTATCTAAACAGCAACACTACAAAGAACCTAGGTGAGGCATAAATTAAGGATGACAGATGGTGCACTAACATGAGTGACATATTCAGACTCATAATATGACCCTCTGTCTTCCCTTCCAGCTTAATGATGCCCAGCAAAATTTGTATCAAGAAGTAATCAAGCTCCTGGATCCTCGTCCATCTTAAAGTAAGCTAGTTTGTGATGATTATGACACTTACCTACTTTACCTACAGCATTTTGGCGGAGAACCTACCCTACCTTCAGCCTTTGATTGCCAGTCATCTCTTGTTTGTCACACTATACAATCAAATCATAACTGTCTGGTTTGCTGCAAGGTTGACAGCATTCAAAGAGCAGAGAAACTATGGGTTTATCTTTGCTGAAGATGGCAATGCCATTACCATGTGAAACAGTGATGATGTCTCCCAGGGTATCCTGTTTTCAGATCTTGGGAAATTAGCTGAGACTGCAATAGCAGATGTATCAGAATAGATAATGGAGTGCTTGCCAGACAGCTGCCAGGGCCTTCTTCAGCAGTTTCATGGCATTTTCAGCCAGTTAGTGGATGATGTCAGTAGTACCCATGCCATTTTCCTTCAGCCTTCCAACCATGTTCTTCTACAGCCACTGTTGGATGTGATGTTACAATGTCTGATGGATCAAGAAGAACTGAAACATTGTATCATGTATTCTTCCTCATTGATCAATGAAGAGTGCGCAAGTCAATGGCTGGATTTTGATGAACAAATTCTTGGTCCAACTATTGTTGCATTTCTCCTGACATGCAGTATTCCTTCTTATCACTGGCAATTTTGATCCTTACTATTCCAGTCAGATAGCAGCACCAGTAGCACTCGTAATCTCTATCTACTGGGCTTGGAGCTTGTTATGGGGAATCTGGAAGCAAAGCAAATCAATCAAGTTACATAGAGAGTGCCTGTGGGCATTCCCTCCTAGCCTTGCTGCATTCATCTTGTTCTACCTGGCTATAGTATGACCTTCTGTGATTCAGATCTCAGGCCTCATTCATCACATTAATCTAGCTCACCAGATGCATATCTCTTCTCATACATTCACTTCAACTTGCCTCAAATTTCCTCATGTTTGGAATAGTAGTGATGTTAATGCTGCACTGCAGGCACACACATTCCTCCCTCAATGTTCAGTTAACATGCAATCTTTTACAAAATGCAGTCACAGCAATGTACCACCAGTCCCCCCCACACTCTTGCAATCTGAATCCATAGGCACTCAACCAGTTCAAAAGGTGGGCAGCAATTGCCATTGACCTTCAGGATATGTTCCCCCTGCTTTAGGGATGACATTCAAACAGGCTCAGAAATACATCTCCTCCAGCCATACATTGCAAGTGTTGTATGGGCTGTGGTGTCCTGATAATCACCTAGTGGATGGGAATTCAGCCATTCTTGGTAACCTGAAGCATGCAAGCCTTGCTTTGAAGGAAGCGAGGCTTTGCATCCAAGGAGAATATGACCTATGCAATGCTCACTTGCCTGCTATGTCAGGGAAGGCAGCTGGCATCTTGGATACTGCACCATACATACATGTCAAAGAGGTAAGCAGGGAGCCCTGACTATCAGCTGAGTTCTCACACGACCTTACTCAGGGCATGATTGGTGATGAGGTACTTTGGTGGGTATTACATGTAGTTTTATTTGGTAATTTGAAACCCTCTGTTTTTGATTGTCCTCCTCCAGGAGGGTACCTGATTACTGATGTATCATGTGCAGTAGTTCAGGTGAGAGTTAAATTATTCATCTTTTCATAAGACTTAGGTGGCTCCCAAGATCATACAAGCTATTGAAGAGCAAGAGCACAGGTTCGAGTATGATTTGATTTGACAGACAGATGTTGATGCAATCATCCACTTTGATGAAGTAGAGAAGAAAGCACAAACATTTCTGGTGACACTAAAAAATGACTTTCCTAAGTCATGGACTGAGCTATGCTTCGAAGTCCATGGGCTCCATCAGAAAGCACCAGGCACAGATGGAGAGAGGTGTTGGGTATTGAGAGGTATTCCTGGATAATTGTTTTCATGTACAACTAGGACACTCACAATTTCACAATGTTAGCAATCCTTAGGTCATGGAGTTAAGTGTGTAACCTGTGCATGCAGTGGATCAAGGGAAAGATGTAGGAGTCTGGTTTTAAGGAAGCCCACTTCACAACAGCAAGGCTGGCAGAACTACCTCAAAATGGCATGCTCTTCTCTGAGTTTACCAGTTCAACAGGCATGTTTGGAAGGTTGTCACAATAAAATACATTAATGAACAATCAGACAACAGATAACATGGATGAGTGTATGAATTTGGCTGTGCAACAAGAGATAAGATACAAGTAGTCTAATTTGTTACATGTAGTAAGCATATGCTTACACCCTTTCCCATCCTTCTGATCTCTCATTCTACCAAATGTTCCAAGCTTTGCAGTCCTTCAAGTTGACGATGATTTGTTGCAAGCATGACATGGTCATCTGTCTGGAAGATAATCAAGGGGGCACAATTCTTGTTGACATATGCAGCCTGAGTGACTTGTGCTGCAAGTAAGTTGTCCTGTACTTCTAGTCATGGTGTCATGTTGTGCCTCTCAAGTTAGTTAATGAAGATCACTTCTTAGCAGCAAACAATGCAGCTCTTGAAGCTGTGCTTACTCATGAATTTGTTACTGAAGAGATCTGAGAGACCATCCACAGGCAAATGGATTGCTTGTAATTAGTAATCATCTCAGGTGCATGGCAATCAGTGTATGGATGCACCATGCTGGCACTCAGACTTGAGTGCTTGAGCTACCATCACTAATGGTCTCTGATATCCTTATCCTGCTCTGCAGCTACACTCCTCAAGAACTACTGCCTGACCTTCTCAATCTGCATTTCTACCCAGAATAAATGTGCACACTGTACATGTGATCAGTGAATTATCCTTCAGTATATCAACAAGATGGCCTTTCCTGGTTAGCTGTGTGGTTTGGCCTGTATAGATATTGACCATGGGAGGCTGGATGATGGGCACCATTGTTAAGGTCGCATGCTCAAGGGGGTTGGATCACAAGGGTTTGGCCTCAGCTCATACACTGTGCCCCTTTCCCAGGTATGTGCCCTTAACTTCCAGGGGCTAGAACAGTCATCTGGAGTTTCCAGGATTTGACTAGGGCAGACAATGGATGTCTGGATCTGAAATGTGAGATAAATCTAATGGACATCCAGATGTTATTTGGATAAGCGGATAAGGCTAATCTGGTGTCATATGCCATTCTGGACTCTCAACTCTAAATCTGCTTCTCTGGATATCTAGATCTGAGATCCAGATCTCAAATGATCTGATCTATCTTTATCTCCCTTCCGGAATCCAAACCCTATATCAGCACCCAACTCCATTTAGACTGCCCCTGTCTCTGGACTCCAGTTAACCATGTTTCCCTTTTGATTATTGATCCATTACATACATTTCATTTCTGGTATTCATGATTTGTGATCTGTCCTACTTACTAATAGACTTTGCATATGCTTCGTACATAGCCTTTATGTTTGCTGACTGATTCCTATATGATACCTACAGTATATAAACCTCCTGTAACTCTCAGAAATACTCCAGTTTGAATATCATCTTAGTTCCTGCTCATTCCTGTGTCCTCTGGACTCAAGATAAGTCTCTTGTCATATTCCAAGTCTTAGGATTGCATCCTAGACTACATTTCTGACTCTACCTTAAGGGTAGTCCATCCTCTGTTAGTTTCTAGTCCAGACTTCGTCTGGATTAGTCTTATCCGCTTGCCCAGGTAATATCCAGACGTCCTGTTATCTGCCCTAGTCAAATCCTGGAAACTCCTGGATAACTGTTCTAGCCCCCAGGAAATTAAGGGCACATACTTGGGAAAGGGGCACAGCATATGAGCTGAGGCCAAGCCCTTGTGATCTGACCCCCTTGAGCATGTGACCTTAACATCTGGATGAAGTCTGGACTAGAGACTAACAGGTGATAGACTACCCTAAGGTAGAGCTGAAGATGTGGTCTAGGATACACTCCTAAGACTTAGAATATGACAAGAGACTTGGCTTGAGTCCAGAGGACACAGGAATGAGCAGGAACTAAGATGATATTCAAACTAAAGTATTTCTGAGAGTTACAGGAGGTTTATATACTGTAGGTATCATATAGGAATCAGTCAGCAAACACAAAGGCTGTGTATGAAGCATATGCAAAGTCTATTAGTAAGTAGGATGGATCACCAATAATGCATATCGGAAATGAAATGTATGTAACAGATCAATAATCAGAAGGGAAACATAGTTAACCAGAGTCTGGAGACAGGGGAAGTCTAAATGGGGTTGGGTGCTGATATAGTGTTTGGATTCTGGAAGGAAGATAAAGATAGATCAGATCATTGGAGATCCAGATCTCAGATCCAGATATCTGGAGAAGCGGATTTAGAGTTGAGGGTCTAGAATGGCATATGACAACCATAGGCCATGGGCAAGCATTGCTTTTGCCTGTGCAGTTATGCCAGATTGTTCTTTCACACTAACAGACTCTGTCCATAACATCTTGTTTGCCAGATGGACAAGCCATCCCTTCTCTAGCAACATGTGACTGCCTCCTTCAGCCACTGCTTGCATGTAAGTGGCACCTTGTGTTGCTGGAGTGCCCAGACACCAAATTTGATGATATTGTCCACCAGCTCAAGGTCCATATTTCTAGTTTCTAAAGACTTGTCGGGGTCACCCATGGCCTCTTGCTCAAGCAGGCATCCAGCAGTAATCAAGATCTTGTGCAATGTAGGCACAGCCTTGTGGGCCTTGTTGAGGATGGCTGTGGCACACTCTGGGGTTTCAGAATGTGCAAGAGTGAACCAGAGCTCAATGGAAAGTGAGATCATGTTAAGGTCGCATGCTCAAGGGGGTCAGATCACAAGGGCTTGGCCTCAGCTTGTATGCTGTGCCCCTTTCCCGAGTATGTGCCCTTAATTTCTGGGGGCTAGAACAGTCATCCGGAGTTTCCGGGATTTGACTATGGTGGATAACAGACATCTGGATCTGAAACATGAGATAAATCCGACGGACGTCCGGATATTACCTGGGCAAGTGGATAAGACTAATCTGGATGAAGTCCGGACTAGAAACTAACAGGGGATGGACTACCCTTAAGGTAGAGTCAGAAATGTAGTCTAGGATGCAATCCTAAGACTCAGAATATGACAAGAGACTTATCTTGAGTCCAGAGGACACAGGAATGAGCAGGAACTAAGATGATATTCAAACTGGAGTATTTCTGAGAGTTACAGGAGGTTTATATACTGTAGGTATCATATAGGAATCAGTCAGCAAACATAAAGGCTATGTACGAAGCATATGCAGAGTCTATTAGTAAGTAGGATGGATCACAAATAATGAACACTGGAAATGAAATGTATGTAATGGATCAATAATCAAAAGGGAAACATGGTTAACTGGAGTCCAGAGACAGGGGCAGTCTAAATGGAGTTGGGCGCTGATATAGGGTTTGGATTCCGGAAGGGAGATAAAGATAGATCAGATCATTTGAGAAGCGGATTTAGAGTTGAGAGTCCGGAATGGCATACAACAGATCACCTCCATGGTACAGAAGAGTATGTGGGCATCCACAGCTGATTCTTCAAGGTTGACACTTTCCTGAACAGAGTTAGAAATATTCTCTAGTGCTGTGTAATGTAAATGAGTAGCAGTGGATTCGATGATAAAATGATATACATGAGTTTCTTCAATTAACATCATGTTCAAGGTCAGCTGCTGCAAGCCAGATCTTGATGCTCTGACTGACATGTTGAACAGCATTTGCAAAAATGACTTTTCTATCATTGTTATTCTATAAGGGATGTTAGTGACCAGGCAGAGGGTACCATGATTCACATACATGTAACCTTGCCACCCCAAACCATATGTTGTTGCTCTTGGAATGCTATTTGCAATCTGCTTTATGAGTTTCCTTGCAGCAACTGTATGGCTAGCATATTCTTCCAGACATGCAGCTGCAATCCAAGTGTTTAGGATTTGACTTGATGAGTGAGTCAAACAACATAAGGGCATGCTTGATGTTGCTGATTTCAGCTTCAACCTTGAGGACCTCTTAGTGATGTGAGATAGCCCTTTGGATCGACAGAGGTAACAGGGCGAGAAGTAGCAACTGTCCCAGAAATCTAAGATGCAATGAGTATGGTACAATGAGAACTATGAAAAGCAGAAGTACTTGATCTAGCTTCAAGGACAAGATCTTATCATGAGTTTGAGGTCATAGTGCCAGTGTCAGCAGGAGTCTCAGAGCCATTTGGCTTGCTAATGTTGAGTGTCCAGCAAATTTTCATATTCAGACCTGGATTGGTTGCTGAAAATGATACTGTCAGGAATGACAAAAGTCCTGTCTTTTTGGCACTTCTTCCTGGTGAGATTACCCACTTCTGGTAGGCTTCCCCATGCCTGGTCAATAACAACAGATAATGAAATTGTTCTAGATCAATTTTGGGCTCCTCACTGTGCAAAGGATTTGAACACATGCAACAACTTCTATAGATGGACCCTCTCTGGCAGCTCCGGTATCTGAATGAATTCTGAATAAATGGTGAATATGGAAGCACTATCATAGAATTAGGCCAGGGGATCCAATGACAGATGAGAGATACTGATCCTCAATCGACACCAGCAACATATGATGCCAGAGCAGGCATCAATTACCCATTACTGCACCAATGATAGTGAGTGTAGTGAAACATCGTCAGTGATGATGAGCTCATACGTGCGTGTCTGGCAGATGGAAACAAAATTAAGGTGATCAAGTGTTGTTTTGAGCATAGACCAGAGACAGGATGTCTTGTTGTATGCAGGGATGATCATCATCAGTGAATTCATGACTCCTTGGTATTGTAGCTGTGGGAATTACAGAAGGATGTAATTCTGCTGCTGCAAAATATAACCATACAAGTTGTTGATACATTGGTATGATAGTCTGCAAATTTAGACTACAATGAGGAGTTTGTGACAAGGTAACAACATCACAGTGGACCAGGGGTCTCAAGGGTAAGAGCCTTGCACCAAGAGTCAGTCAGCCTCTTCCATAGCTTAGTCAGCCAGTAGCCCGCAGATAGCTTACACAATCATCATCTCAGCCCATGATGTCATGTTATTGGAGGTAAAATTTGTTTTTGTAGGTTTAATCTGTGAGGCAATTTCAATGACTGTGACTACACATTGACATGGTCTGTGCACTGCTGTGCTTACATGGCTTCAAGTCCCTCTCTTGATGTATATCTGGGCACCTGCACCCAGGTAAACCACATCTTTTCTGCTTTACTGCCATGAAGCAGAAAAAATTTCACTAATTTGAACTTGCTTCCCTCATCATGTATCCATTAGGTGCATTGGCCATGCTACTGTTCATGAACACTGTTCTCAACATATCTTAGAGGTTGGAGTCATTAATCTCATAGCACAAACTGCATGTTTTGTCCCTTGCCATCTTCAATTCTGTGCTTTGCTGAGTAGGTGCAGGTGACAGTCAGTTTAAGGGTGTCTCAATTTTCATGTTTGAGATGCTTGAGACTGCTTCAATCCTCTGAGTAAGTAGCATCTACTCAAATATTTCCTTAGTTTGACTGAGCAAATCAATGTTAATGAAAGTTGCCACAGATCACTGAGTTATCATATACAGCAGTGTGGCCTGGGAGGGTCAAGGGAAGGAATGTGAGCAGTATCACAGAGCAGTGCACTGGAATTTGCAGGGAGTGGTAAAGTAAAGATAGATTATACAAAGGTGGCCTCTCAGCCCCAAGACAAGGGAATGGAGAATGAAAGAGTGGAATCAGGAAGATTGATCCTAGTAACACTAGACATGGTGAGTGGTGGGCTCAAGTAAGCATTGGAAATGAACAAACAATAATAAAAGACATACCATGACTGAGTGGCATGAGGATTGTACATGCAACTATGAAAGGTGCTGAGTTGCCATGCACAAAGGGGATTGTTGTTAATAGGGATAGGATTATCAGATAGAAGTGGAGGCCAGAGCCTTCAGGTAGCAACTTTGGGGTATGCTGTGCATTGCCACTGTTCTGGGGGACCAACTTAACTTCTTGAAGCATGCAGCACAACCAAATGATTAAATCCTTGCTGCTGCAGCTAGCAGCAGTATCATATGATGCCCAATGTAAGAAGCAAGTTATGAGCTCAAGTGCTAGTAGTAGCTGCATTATCACTCAATGCTTTTCTCACATGTCCGAGTCACTGGAACATGCTGAATCCATGCACCTAGTTGATTTCACATCTGGCATTGGGCCTGGGAATACTATATGAAGCTGATGCTTCAAATCTATCATATTCCCTGAACATGCAAATCAAAACTTTTCATTCTCTTGTCCTGATTTGAGTCATCTTCACAATGTCACAGACTGTAAGTGGTGTTTAGCTATCATTCCTCAGTGTGATGTTAACTCAAAATCAGGTGTTCATCACACCAGGGCCTGCTCACAATGGCACAAATATGTGCAATGTCATCATTTTCGGAGAAGCAGGAGCTGGTAAAAGTTCTTTGATTGATTTGATCACTAGGGAGCACATGGCATGGGTATCCTCCAATACTATGGGATGCACAACTGAAACCAATGCATATGAGACTGAGATTTTGATTCCATTGAAGTTGAAGGTAAAGCTTTTTGATACTGCCAGTTGGTCCAGTTCACTGCCTTTTGTAGCTGTTACTGAATGAGATTGCAGGTCTTGATGAGGGCCCTGAAGGTACAGTTCCTAATATGCAAGCTCAAAAAGTGTTAAGGATGCTCATTTAAACTCTGATAATGCAAGGTGGCATTCATCTCATCATGCACTGTATGCAGGGTGTTAAGGTCACATGCTTGAGGGGGTCAGATCACAAGGGCTTGGCCTCAGCTCGTACACTGTGCCCCTTTCCTAAGTATGTGCCCTTAATTTCATGGGGCTAGAATGGTCATCCGGAGTTTCTGGGATTTGACTAGGGTGGATAGCAGATGTCCAGATCTGAGACGTGAGATAAATCCGACAGACATCCAGATGTTACCTGGGCAAGTAGATAAGACTAATCTGGACGAAGTCCAGACTAGAAACTAACAGAGGATGGACTACCCTGAGGTAGAGTCAGAAATGTAGTCTAGGATGCAATCCTAAGACTTGGAATATGACAAGAGACTTATCTTGAGTCCAGGAGGACACAGGAATGAGCAGGAACTAAGATGATATTCAAACTGGAGTATTTCCGAGAGTTACAGGAGGTTTTATATACTGTAGGTATCATATAGGAATCAGTCAGCAAACATAAAGGCTATGTATGAAGCATATGCAGAGTCTATTAGTAAGTAGGACGGATCACAAATAATGAACACTGGAAATGAAATGTATGTAATGGATCAATAATCAAAAGGGAAACATGGTTAACCAGAGTCCAGAGACAGGGGCAGTCTAAATGGAGTTGGGTGCTGATATAGGGTTTGGATTCCAGAAGGGAGATAAAGATAGATCAGATCATTTGAGATCCGGATCTTGGATCTGGATATCCGGAGAAGCAGGATTTAGAGTTGAGAGTCTGGAATGGCATATGACAGTATCTCCCCCTTTAGGCCGAACCCTTGAGGCACAGGGGGTCAGAAATGAGGGTCCTGAAGAAATGAGTGTGAGACAATGGAGAAGTTGATGGGGGATTCCAGGGAATGGATTTCACAGATATAGTGTTGCCAAAGTGTCCTATTTGATTCTTACCCCCCATATTCTTCCATCAGCTTATTCACTATGTCTGGCAACTCTTCCAACCAATCTAACAAGCCCAAAACTGCCAGGGAGGAACTGGAACTGCGTCAGGCCCAGATGAGGGTGGAATTAGCTGAGGTGGAGACCAACATCCATCTGGCTGATGAAGCAGAAGAGCACCAGAAAGTGGAAGAGCTCTGGAAGGCGGAAGAGCGGAAACATCAGGAGGATGAGGAGAAGAAGCAGAGGGAGTTGGCTGAGATCTAGAAGGAAAGGGCTGAGAAGGCCCGGAGGGCGGAAAGGTGAGTTTCCTGTGGTCTGGACTGTTCTGGAATTGAAAATGTGCTTGTCCTCAGATGAAATATGATCTGGAGGCATGCAGGAACTGCATGACTAAGAGGAGGGAATGCTGTTGGGTTGAGGCTGGTAGTAGGTCCACTGTAAGTGTCTATTTTCTGACATCCGGATCCGGTATTTTGACATCTGGACAGATAAAGGCTTGCGATGCCTGCTGGAAAACCAAGGAGAAGTGCTACGGACGTCTGAAGGGCCCTGAGGAGAACTGGAAATACTTTGACCAGGCCTCATCTGCGTCTTCCAACAAGAAGAGGACTCGTCCAGGAGGGGACTCCTTCTCCCAAAGGCAAGGGGAAGAGACGTCAGCACAGTCTGGATCTGGATTCCGGAGATGAGGTGACCATTATCTCTAATCTGGCTACTATTATAGGGGCAGAAGAAGCAAATGTGGAGTATGATGATCAGGCTTGGGTTGCTGTGGCCAACAGTATTGTGGCTGAGTTGGTCCTGGACTAATGGACTTCTGGAGAGGAGCATTCAGGCGGCGGAAGGGAGTAGAGCTGCAGCAGGACCGGATGAGTATTGGTATGGCCAGATTCCTGGACCAGCAGAGGGAGTTCCAGAACACCCTTATGGAGTACATCTGAGGTGGATCCGGATTCCGGATCCAGAGAGGAGAGTGCTCAGGAGGATGAGGGAGTGGGAGAGGTGGAAAAGGAGGCTGGAAATGAGGCCAGCAGATCTAGAGATGACATGGAGACTGATGCCTGATTCTAGACTTCCACTCTTGCCCTCTAAATGTACTCATATATCTGCATGTATCTCAAAGTAGTGAAATGGGACTGGGTTTGTTTGGGTATGCAGAGTGAAAGTTGGATACTAATTCTGAGGCATTTCCGAGCTCTGTGGCAAGTAGCCAAGATGTTTCCTTGTCTGTTCCCTCATATCCGGACCACCGGATGAGGTATAGGAGCTGACAGTGTCGTCTCCAGCGGTCAAGTTTAGAGTCCAGAATTTCGGAAATTTCATACTCAGGCTCTCCGTCAACTTCCACTGGAGGTGGGGGTGCTTGGATGCAATTGGGGATGGTGTTGGGAGTTGCGGGTTCTAACTGGGAGACATGGAAGACAGGGTGGACAGATTTCATGGATTCCAGAAGACATAGGGTAAAGGAGTGGGATCCGGGATGGGATATGATCTCAAAGGGTCCTAAGTTCTTTTCTAAGAGTTTCTTTGAGGGTCTAGTGGACTAGAAATATTGTGCTTTGACGAAGACTAGATTTCCGACCTTGAAGTCCTGGAGCAGGGTTTCTGCTTAGCATCTGCAGGGCCCTGATAGCGCTCCTGCGCATGGGACATTTCTTCTCAGAGGAATTGATGAAGCTTGTTGAGATCTATAGCATAATCACAGGCACAGGCAGAAGAGAGGTCGCATTCCGGATGGACAGAAATGTTCAGATGGTATCTCTTGTTAGTGAAGAAGGGTGAAACTCTAGGTAGTAGCACTCAGAGCATTGTTGTATGTGAATTCCACCAAGGATAATAATTCTGACCAATTATCCTGCTGGTAGTTGCAGTAGATCAGGAGGTATTGTTCCAGGGTCTGGTTGGCTCTTTCCGTCTGTCCATCTCCTTCTGGATGATATCCGGATGTGAAGTGGAGAACCATATCCAGTGCTTTCCCTAGGGACTGGAAGAAGTGGGACATGAATTCCGTACCTCAATTGGAAGTGACATGGGATGGGATGCCATGCTTAGAGAATACATGGAGTAGGAATAGGCATGTGAGGTCCAGGGAGGTAATGGTGTCATGAGTTGGAACAAATATTGCTTGCTTGGATAGACAATCTATGATGACGAGGATGGCTGTAAAGCTGGATGAGTCCAGAAGTTGTTCTATGAAATCCATGGAAATGGAGTTCCACAGCTTTTCTGGGATAGGGAGCTGTTTGAGCAATCCATAGGGTTTATGTCTCAGAACCTTGGCTTGGGCGCAGGTAGTACAGGATCTAACATAGTCCCTAACATAGATGCGTATTCCGGGCCAGGTATATTCACGTTGGATGAGTTCTAATGTCCTGTTTTGACCAAAATGTCCAGATAGGGGGTGGTCATGAGTATTCTGGAGTACACAAAGTCATAGATCATTGGATTCTGGAACATATATATGATTGTCACAGCAGAGGAGACCATCAACATCCACCATCCATCTTGGATCTGAGGGTTCCAGAAGATGTATGGAGGCAATAGGGTCATTAGGGAGTGCGGTCAGGATGTCAGTCCGGAGTTGTTCTATATCCATTAATACAGCTGCTCTGAGAACTGGAGTTGCTAAGGATGAGGCTTGTAGGGACAAAGCTAGCTGTTCCGTAGTGAATACCAGACGGAAATTGTGAGGGTTAACTTGAGCGTAGTCCTTATCCCCCTCTTTGGGATAGACGTCCCAACGTCTAGTGAGGGAATCTGGTTTAGCTCCAAGTTTTCCAGGACGGAAGCAGATAATGAGGTTGAACTGATGCAGGAATTCTGACCATTGAGCCTGATGGCGGGAAAGGAGTTTTGTGGTTGAGAAGTACTCAAGGTTTTTGTGGTCTGTGACAAAATCCACAGGCTCGGAAGAGCCTTCCAGGTAGTGTCACCAGGTCCGGAAAGCTTCATAAATGGCTAGGAGTTCCTTGTCATGGGTGTCATAGTTGAGTTCCGGAGTGGAAAGCATACAGGAGTAGAACGCTACTGGATGAAGCTCTGAGTCCGGACATACAATGGAAAGTATTCCGGCGATAGCATAATCAGAGGCATCTGTTTCCACAACTATAGGAATGTCCAGCATCCAGTGTGTCAGCACCGGAGTGGAAGTGAAGGCTTTCTTGAGTGTTTCAAAGGATTTCCAGCAGTCCTTGGAAAAGTTCCAAGGGACATTCTTGCGAGTTAACTGGGTGAGTGGGACCACAATATCTGAGTAGTTAAAGATAAATCGACGATAGAAATTTGTGAATCTGAGGAATGATTGGACATCTTTGACTTTCCAGGGTTCTGGCCAGTCAGTGATAGCTTGGATCTTCTCGGACGACATTGTAAGGCCGTCTGGAGATAGGAGGTATCCAAGGTATTCCACGGATGAGGAATGGAATTCGCATTTTTCTGGTTTAGCATATAGGCGATGCTTCCGGAGTCGATGTAGTACTTCTCAGACATGTTCCTTATGGGTTGCAAGATCTTGGGAGTAAATGAGGATGTCGTCCAGATACACAACAACACATACATCCAGCATATCCGCAAAAATGCTATTGACAAAGTGTTGGAAAGCTGCTGGGGCATTGGTAAGACCTTCCGGCATAACCAACCATTCATAGGAGCCATAGCGCATCCGGAAAGCAGTTTTCCACTCATCTCCTCCACTATCTGGACAAGATGATAGGCAGACCAGAGGTCAATTTTGGTGTAAACTTTAGTGCAGCTCGGAGAGTCTAAGAGGTCGGAAATGAGAGGCAAGGGATAATGGTCTTTCTTGGTGATCTGGTTGAGGCCTTGGAAATCCACACAAAGTCATAGGGAGCCATCCTTCTTCTTTACAAACAGGACAGGGGCTCCGTGTGGAGAGGATGAGGATTGGAGGAGTCCAGTTGCAATGTTCTCATCAAGGAACTTGCGGAGAGCTGCAAGCTCAACTGGAGAAAGGGAATAGATAGTTCCAATGGGCGGATTAGCTCCTTCTTCCAAATCGATCTTCAGATCATATGGACGATAAGGAGGAAGTTGACTAGCTTTGCCCTTATCAAAGACATCTGCAAACTCCTGATATTCCAGAGGTATTCCAGAAAGGTTAGGGGCTTTGGACGAGAGTGAGGCAGACCGGAGATCCAGTCCAGAGGGGTGGAGATAGATGCTGAACTGCTTCGATCCTTCCATCTTGCAGGCCCAGCAAAAGGCAACTGCATTAATGAGGGAAATATGCAGACCGGATTTATCAGCAGAAGGTTCTGGTGTAGTCAGAGGAGGGATTTCTGCTGGAGGAAGAGTATCACACAGGCAAACATACCAGGTGATATCATGACACATCTTGATGACAAACTGAGGGAGCACATGATGCCCCAGATTGCTAGCTGTTCCACTGCACCTGGTCAGTATCTACCCTGTGTGTCATCCTGTACAGAAGCTAATTCTTTACATTATAGAGCCTGGCTATGAATTTGAGTTGAATGGTATAATATACAGCTTCTCCCATTATCAGTGTGGCCTCCCAGAGGCTTATATGTTCTAGCATTATGAGGTGCAAGTCCACCACTGTATGTAGCCCTGCCAGTCTGAAATCTGCACAGCATTTCACATACAGACAGGGACATATGCAGCATATGCACTCTCCTGGTACATTGACTGCCAAGCCAGAGCTGAAGGGCACAATAAATACACAGGGGATTCACACTCTGCATTCCTAGAGGGGGTGGGAGTTTTGTTGACCTTTCCCTGAAGGTTGCTGTTAGGCCAGCAAAAGGGACATTACTTGCATTCAAGCCAGAATACTCCCATGGAACTACCAAACTGCAGGATTCCTAAAGTTGTCACACTACTGCTGCTTTTTCAAACCACATTCTTCAAGCATATGAGAAGGCAAAGCCTGGCACACAGGTAGAGTCAGGGGAAGGAGCAGGGGTGGCAGCTAGGTCTGACCCTAGTGCATACTTCAGGTAATCTGCTGCATAATTGATTCTTTTGGGAAGCATTCTTCATGTCACTTTTCTATAGCTGACCAGGTTTACTCACATATGGCAGTGTATCACCTGTAATTTGCACTTTCACTCTCTGCACATGCAGTATACTGTACCATAGCTCCATTGCATGCTGTTGATTAAGAATGAGGTCCTGGCTCATTAAGTCTGTAAGATTGACAGGTATCCAATTGTTCTTTTTCTTGATACCCACTGCCTCTGCATAACTTCTCTGTATCCACTAGTGACCATCAGTTAAAGTCTGCTATTCAGGAGTAACACTGCTACTGCTTCCCATTGTGGTTGCATCACTTTCAAGATTATCTTGATATCAGTCCTGGCACACCTGGTTTGAAATGAAAACTAGAGTATAACATACTCTATATAGCTATGTTTGACATGTGCAAATTCCCTCAAGTAAACCTACAATACACACATGAACAGGTAGTAATTACACTCTTATATTCTCATCTTCCTCAAATGTGTCCTTGACCTGAAAATTATAGTCAAAATAAAATTACTTGAAGAATGCACAACACTTACTTTCTGGAGGAATGCATCATCAGGTAGCATTCTATACCACCAAACAAGCATTGTTGGATACTTCAGAACATGCAGCTTCTGTGAATCCTAAGGTATAGTTCCCACCATCTGGAATGGTCAGGCTTGCTTGCAAAAACAATTAGTATGGTTCATTCAGAATCTGCGCTACTTACAAGAACCAGAGTGAAAACCAGGTATCACTGATGTGAAAGAACTTCATTAGCAAAGGTCGCCCACTCCCAGTCATGGAGTTAGGTGCACAGTATGTGATATTCTCATTTTTGGTTTAAAGCATCAACTTCATTGCACTTTCCAGATGTGCAAAACACTCACAAAATCAGTAGAAGCACTCTTTATGCCCCAGTCATAATAGATAGGTGCATCATCCACTGCAATGGATGTATGGAGATTTATCTAACTCTCTAGCATCCTCATCTTGCACAGCACACCTCATCTCTACATATTAGCACTGCCATTCTTGCCCATCAACTCTGCACTATCCAGAACATTTTTTGCATGGTTTCTGAACACTCTTTGTGTGGCATCTGGACAGCTATTCAGACTGTGATTGCTAGGCACACTAGTGACATTAACTCATCATCATTCTCACTGGATGGGACTTGCATTGCAATTGGATCAGATGATTGCACTGCATGGCTATGGGATGCAGCAACTGGGCAGCCAGTGGGCAAGTCCTTGCTGGGGCACACAGAATCAGTTACCTCAGTTTGTTTCTTGCCGGATGAGACACACATTGTACCTGGCTCAGCTGATCAGACTGTGCAGTTGTTCTCCCTGAACAGAAGTGACAATTCTCATTTCATCATGAGAGATGAATCTATTATACTACTTGATTTTATGGAGAAAAATATTCCTCATGCTGAGTTTGTGTTCTTATCAGCATGTCATACTGCTGTCAGTGATGGGAAGATGGACACTCAACAAAGTTATTCACCTCCCAGCTGGACTGCAATTTTCAGGGTCCAAGAGCATCATTGGTATGCTATGGGAGGTCAATAATATTGTTGCAAATCATACAGCGCTACACATGCCATGAACGCAAAGGTTCCAATTCTCTCTTATTCCAGACAGTTGATAATTTCATACATAATGTCAAGCTCTACCATCAGGCTCCAATTGTGACTAGTAATAGACTACTACAGACCACAGTGACTATCTTACCAATACAAATAAAACTAGCCTAAACTACAGAAGTTGTAAACCTAGGGCCTTCCATGAGGACTCATGAGTGAAGTGAGCTATAGAAATTCTCTGTCCATCAAAAAATGCCTCAACAGTGTGGGGGAGGATATGTCCATGAAGCAGAATTATTATACCAGGCTCATACCACAGTCTAAGATTAAGCTGAGGTATAAAAAGATAACCACCCATGAAATTTCCTAGGGTCACTAACACTACCCAATACTGGGGGGGATCAGTGCTGTCAGGATACAGTGGTGTCTGCCTATTGAGCTGGATGGACCTACCCTCCCACAAGAGTCCATCAATGACAGACTATGCCTTAACATATGGGTACTTGTTGCAGAGACTAACCACAAACTCCTGCATAGCTAAGAATTGTGGGGGATCAATGACCTCCAAAAGAGCATTAAGTCTCAAGTTCAGAAGCTTGAGTTCAGATATAAGCTGGGTAGAGAGGGAAAATCATTGGCCACTGGCAATGACATCAGTGGAGATGACTGGCTCCTTTTTCTACATAAAACAGCACATTAGATAAATACCAGAACTGTTAAAGTGTATCACCTTATGGCCCACAGTGTGCCAGGCTGAAACCAACTTCACATTACCAGTGAGCTGACCCTCAACTATCTGATATGACTCTTCTCTATTTCATCCTTTTTTATCAGCACCTTTCCCCATTTTAAGTGGGACATTCTGTCTGAACCAGTACCACTGACTGACATAATGCCTCCTGTGGTTCATAATGAGTGTCTCAAAATGAATCAATAAATAGCCATACCTGTCCTCATCCATAAATGGCATTAGGAAGATGTAGGACTATAGGGATACCATCTCTACTAATAGCCAACTGAGGTTTGTCAGGATCTAGCCACTTACATAGCTCCTCAGATGATTCATTCCAATGAGCTGGAGTGTGGTGCTGGTGGGCCCTTTCTTTCACAGTGTCATGAAATTTGAAGCTGGAAAATTCAATCAATGTTCAACCATTAGCCCTAGTAAGAGAACAACATATAAGATTTACCTTGAGCAGCTTTTGCCTTTAGCACCATCCTTCCATCAATGATTGAAGCCTGGTCTGAAATTGGCTAACATCAGCTTTCTGGGTGCAACTACAAAGAAATCAGTAATATTGCAATGAGAGTTGAAACACATATACCATTTTTTACAGAGGGGTGGAAGTTTGTCACTTCCCTTAACTGTTTGGTCCTGGCCCAACTCATGGGAAGGCTCATCTCTAACAGTGGATAAGTTCATATCCACCTAGCAAATGTAAGGTTAATCCTTACCTGAAGGCTATAAATATATTTTCATCAGTCCAAACATTGCCATCAGTATCAGCTCCATTGATGTTGCTATACTCTTCTTCAGCAATGCTAGATGCCACCATCTAGAAACTCACAACAGCATCAGAGAAGAGTTATTGAGGTAGATAATATGAAAAAAAGAAACAGTACAAGAGGCCCGTACCACACACATAATGCCCAAATAACCTACAGAAGGCTGTCCAACCATATGTGGTACTGAACTAGCTCCTACAGAAGGCCAACAAGGACAGTAGGGGATGGGCCACAACAAATGATCAAAATAATAATGGTCAAAAACTTATGTTTTCTGGCTACCATTTGAGGTTTTCACACCCTCTGCAGTCACTGCAGGTATCAAAATGTGGATGTGGGTCATTGCAGAGTGTCCTAACATGGAGGTGGTCATCATGTGCGAAATACTCACATCTTGGTTTGGGACTGTGAAGGAGTAGAAGGGTGTGTTCTCGGCCTCATCAAAGTTTGTCAATTTCTTTTGCATTCTAAATTGCCAAGTGATTAACAACCTACAGCTGTGATGATCCATTTTACCATCCCATCAGTTATACATCAGCAAAACCCTAAGTTAAGGTCCCCCCTTTTACAGTGCTGTATGGTACTGTGTGGCACTGTGTGGTATCATGTAGTGCTGTAAAAGGGGGGACCTTAACTTAGGGTTTTGCTGATGTAGTCCAACCGACAAGGATGAAATCAATCAAGCAGCCACTCATGTTGCATACCTTAGTTCTACAGATGTTCCTCCTGTTGTATACTATGCTCCATCCATTCTGTTCCCTGCATCTTTGCTTTTCATTTTGTTGAGTTCAGTCACTTTGCCCATTGTGTACTTGCTGTTGTCTTATTTGTGCTGTCTTCCTTTCTTTCTGTTCATTTCTGATGTACTACCATGCACATGCTACTATGTCTTGCCATAGTCCAATGCAAGACTCAATGCACTCACATACTGCAAACAGTGAGCAACAACTCATTAGCATATCTTGAGCTTGAGAGAGAATCAATACACTCACAACCTGTGAACAGTAGTTGATGACTCAGATCAACATATCTTGAGGTAGAAGGGGTCTCTCTACAACATCAATGCCTGTGGAGTCATTCTCTCCAATGTAGTCATTGGCATGGCCTGCTTCTGTGGTGGTCTTGCTCAGCTTGTTAAGGGTGGGTGAGTTCTTTTTTCATTTTGTAAAGTCTCTGCTCACCTATAGTGCATGCAGTCACACCACTGGCTCAAAATATTATTGCATGATTGGATGCATTCTGTTGACTCACCAGTATATTCTCTAACTTTTGTCATATTGTTTTAGCTAGTCTTTGTTTAATTTGAACTGTTTCTTATTTTTCTTTTGGCACAACTCATGAGTATCTGTTCTGTGTGCTGAGTCTCCCTGTCAAAGCCTGATTGACTCTGTACATATATGCATTTTTTTTCTGACCTCAATCTTTCTTGGTAGCTAACACTATCAAATCTCTCAAAGCACCTGACTTCAAATGGAATGCTTCTACTGACCTCATTACTTTCAGCATCAATGCTCCTCCCAGCTTCTTTCTTACAACATCTTCCTCATCTGATACCTTCTCTGCCAAAGGCTCCACACCCACCAAGCCAGATCTCAGGCCTAGCAGTGCAGGAGAGGTGATGGAACCTCTGGCACTAACCATACCTCTTCTGACCCCACCTTCAATGAGAACAGTGCTTCTTCCTCTCCTATGAAGGACTCATCTTATCAAAAACACATGGCCTCATATGAAAAACTTCACCTCCCTCCCATTTTCAGTACTTCATTTGGCCCAGTAGCTCTCCCCCCACTGCAGGAGAGGTGAAAGAACCTCTGGCACTAATCATACCTCTTCCAACACTGCCTCCAATGAAAATGGTATTTCTTCCTCTCCTATGAACAAATCATCTTATGAAAAATACACACCTCATATGAAAAACTTCACTTCCCTCCTTCCACTCCTGATGACCTCCCTGTTCCTGATGACCTTCCCACTCCATTTCACATCAATCTTCTTTGTCTGACTCCAACAGATAGAGAGTGAAGTTTTATCGTCCAGAGGATAATCACCTTACCCTTCTGACAGTATACAGTAGCTAGAAAGGCACCAGCTTTCTAATCCTTGGTGCTACAAGAACTTTGTCCAGGCAAGAAGCATATGGCATGCACAAGATATTCGCAGGTAGCTAGTGGGCATCATAGACAGGTGTGTGCAAATTCTCGATGAGTTAATTTCATGACTCTGATGATCTTCTCTTGTACAGGCATTATGTTCTGTTGGCAGGGAAGGATTACAGCTGTGTGCAGAAGGTGATATATTCTAGTTTCTTCTGGAGCACAGTTGAGAAGGATCCTCAAGAAGGTTACAGGATGCTCATTCAAGGAACACCCATATATTTCATCCATCTTCTGCTCTCTTCAGCTGCACACCTGAATGGCCAGTCTATAACTGAGCTGGTGCTGACCACTCATATATAGTGTCATGACATCACTACTATAAGGCCAAAATGGCTCATGGAGGCTGCACCTCAGTTTTTCACAGCCACTAACACTAGTAAGATCAGTAAGCAGAAGAGGCAGGAAAAGATTGAACCATTGTACAGCAGGATATAGTATCACATTTATATGAGACATGCAGCTCATGCATTTACTAGTACAAGAAACCTGACAAATGGCAGCTATTGAAAGTCAAATGAAGTGCATGCATGGCATGCCTGCTTTGATTATGCACTGATCCTATCTATGTGTTGTATTACATTCACACCATATTTTATCCTTATCTTGAGGGCCTTACCCTGCTCACTTTGCCTATAGCAGATGCTCACAAGACTCAGACATTTTGGGCCATTTACAGCCTGGCCTGGAGTCATCAGATGGATAGATCAACTGCCTCCTCATGAGTACAGCATGTCTGTGGAATCCCAACACAAACCTAAAGCTAGACCTCCCCTCCAGCATGAAGAAAGGGTAGAATGCACCATCCTTTCAGCTGATGGAATAGTACTAGTCACTGGCAGTGGCAAAGATGTGTATGTGTGAAACATCCATGCCATTATTAAAAAGATGGCCCTGAAGACCTCCCACCCCTCCCTCATGTAAATCTTGTGGTTCTTCAGTAAAATACATGCTAATCTCCCACTCACAGGTCCTAGCTCAAAAGCTGCCATTGAACATATGTGATATGTTCCTTAATGTTTTCAACCATTTCAAAGTCATAACTCTAGAGCAGTGCTATGTGGTGTCCACCTATTCCTACCCTATCAAATACACCAAGGTTTTTTGATGACATACAGGGCAACATTCATGTGTGCTGTTGGTATTTTTTCATCTGTTCATGATCTCAGCTCTTACAATGAGTTTCTACATTCATCACCCATCCTCCTATCACATTTTTGCACTCTCTATGGGGAACCCACATGTGCTCCTTGTTCACACTCTGTCACTCTTCCACCACCCTCATTCCCATGCCAATGAAGCAACTGAACTCCAACAAACACAAATGCAAAGGCAAGGGATCTTCTCTTGTTACAGTCCTCACACTGTTGAAGTCACTGTGGTATGGGACAAAAAAGGTATTCATTCCTCACATGCATTTTCATTTACCATGGCTCAATAATTCCACTGTAGCCTAGAATTTGAATTTGGTGAGTGTCAGCCCAAATGCTATTGAGCACTTATTTGTGTGTTCTATTTGGGTTTGCAACTTCATATAGACCACAGATGTGGTTGAAGTCCATATGAAGTTCTCCAGTGGAATGTTATATTAGTTGGGCACTGGGTTACAGCAGTGATGAGCAGAGGAGCTGGGGTGAACAAGCATGGGTGGTTTATATTGGTATATTTCATATTGTATGTTGAAGTGCATCAATTTCAGTACATTTGAGTGAAAGAGAGAAAGATACAAAGAGGACATAGTTATACAGAGATGTACAGAATTCTATTGTTGGGTGTGAAATGAATAATGTATTACAGTGGCTCAAAAAAGTGTCTGAATGTTTATGCATTTTTAAGTAATTGGATAATAGCAAGCCAGCACCTGAGTACAATATAAGGGCATAGGGACAAATCTAAAGGCTTGACATCATAGCTATAATCTGAGGTTTTGACAATCACCCATGCATCACCCCAGACAAGGATAAGAGATGCCATACCACAGACCATGATTATATAGGATTTTTGTAAGTAGGTTTGCTTTTGGTACAGGTATTCTAGCCATTTTCACAATATCAAGTCTCATGTACACCCCATTCTAGATGCGCAAGTCATAACATCTATTGATATATATATTTGATTTTAAGGGTGCTATCTTTAACAACCAGTGGGATTAAGTGCTGATAAATGTATATACATTACATTAATGAATAGAAGTAATGGTGAAAACATGAGGCACTTTAGGGCAGGAGGAAGACAAGTGAGTTAGATGCATGTGTGTAATCAGATGCGACATTGTGCAACATATAGTGATTTACATACCACCAACATCAACTTATCAACATGCCCCACAAATCAAAAAACACAGCTGATGGTGGTGTAAGTGCCATGTGATTGCAATGCCAATACAGGAACTGATGTACCCTAAATGAACATCATTCTAGAGCAATATGTTTAAGTTGGACACACATCCTGTGTAAGCAGCATCACTAAATGATGATCTTACACATGAGAACCAAGAGTTAGATATTGCAGTGACAAAGGTGAAAATCAGAATTGGGAAAATCAATATTCTTGAGATTGCGAATAAATTGCAATTTGGTACTTACAATGACAGAGCACAAAATTTGAGTGAAGTGAACAAGATGATTATATTATTCAAGAAGCACAGACAACAGTGGTACAAGGAAAGCAATGCTCTCATGATTGTCATTGCATCAAGTCATCTCCATGCTGGCCAGGAGTTGAATGGGAGCTGGAATGATCAGGAGAGTTTGAATGAGATGAAGTTTGTCAACAGGAAGCCACTGATACTAGCATCAGGCCAACACTGGGTGGCCACACTGAAAAAGATGGTGCAGGCCTTCATTGATGAAGAAGCCATGCTTGAGAAGAGGATCACACACATTGAGGGGGTGAAAGACCCCAGTGATGATTCAGTGACAGAGCACATTGAGCTATGGAACTGCCTTGCCATAGTGAAAGGTGAACATTGAGACCTTGGAAACTGGGCCGTTATCCTGTATAACCAAGGCACATCATGTACAATATACTAGTGGTCTAGTTGTGCATCTAGAGTCATATCTAGATGTGCAGGTATGTTCCCTGTGCATCTGGACATGAGTCCAGATGTGCAAGTATACACACCTGTGCACATGTTATGTGTGCATCTAGATACAACTCTAGATGCAGGGACTTAGTGTGACATATGAAACTGACAACTCACCAAATATCATTGATGCCAGAATGGGTAACCTTGGCTTGCACCTAAGTCAAAATCAAACCTTGCACATATATGCCAAGACACAAGAGGAGGAATTGGTGTTGAAATTGCATGATTTTTATGATGTCTACCAAGAGGAGGGCAAAGACACTGCCTTGGAGCTGATCCAACAAGAATATGAGAAAGGCAAAGATGACAAGAATTTGAAACTAATAAAGATATGGAAAAATGAACAGCTTGTTATTACATTGATGTGTGACATCCTCCTGATGGGGGCACATTATCAACACCAGAGTGAGCTATTGGTCCACTGGCTGTTGGCCAATATCTCAGTGATCATGGGGGTATGTAAACATTATTTCTGAATTGCACGAAGTAATAAATGACATATTTACAGATCTATACCATATACATGAGGTGCAGCATGAGCATGCTTTAACAACTTGCATCAACAGATGAATTCCCATCTTATCATGAAGTATGCACACTCATTGAGAAATCTCAGGGGAGTAAGGACACATGTGAGTGGGTGCGAGAGTTGCATCAGAAGATACTCTCCAGCATGGCTGGTGAGTTCAAGACATTCATTCCCTATATCAAGGGGATCAATGAGTGAGCTGTGACATGTTTCAACATGTACGCTGGTAAACTTGGCACAGACACATAAATCTATGTTGCTGCCCTTGATAAATATTCCTGTGACATCTTGAGGCTCCTTGAGCATGGGCTGGGCCAGAAATCAGAATCAGAAGATGACAAAATATGGTCAGACCATGTGCTTGCACGCACATACATATACTTGTTGTCATTGGACATGATCCCAATGCTGTTGATGATGGGCATGGTGATGGACTGGGTGTGGAAAGAGTTAGATGATGTGAAAGAGGGTGATAAAGAGGTACAGAAGTCTAATTTGTATGGATGCAAAAGATCCTTACAGTGCATTCAGGTGTCCCAGTGGTATAAGGCCATGAGCGACACTATGAAGATCTCTTGCCCCCACACACACACCATTAACAACTACATGGAGGCATTGTGTTATGATCAAACTAAGTCTGCGGTGAGCAAATGAAGTGAGTGAGTAACATAGAACTTGGATTGGGGCTCGCACCAAGCCTGCTGCAACCAGCAAGCATTTGTAGGTATGAGTTCATAGCAATTGATCTAGCTGCAAGGGCTATGATCAATTATTGATGATTATGATGGCAAGTCATCAATCGTTCTCTTCACAAGGCTAGAGACATTGGCAGCGACAAGATCCAAGGAAAGTACTTGCTAAAGAGGAGAGCTTGCTTAGGGCTCAAAGGGTAGGCAGTATGAACCAAGTAGATTCAAGTTAGAGAATACAAGTGCTACCCATAATGTATATATACCATTGGAAGGGATAATGGCAGGTCTGCTGTATCAGTGGTAAGGGTAGAGGGTGAGTTGAGTCACAACAAGTCAAGATACCAAAGTACAGTGGCTCAAAAAACTGTCCACATGTTTTGACATTTTTCACTATCTATGATATTGTGTGAGAACAAACAAATGCCTCAAGGACATGCTTATAGCACATTGTAGTATGGCTTCAGGGCTTTCATTTGAGCCCTACACCAGTGGGAATTGGTGGAGATATGGTGGAGATACAAGGCTCACAAAATGGTGACTCATGCAGACAGTTTTTTGACTCAAGTATTTTACAATAATAACCAGGTATTCTAGTATTTTGTATGACCTCCCTTGGCTTTAATTACTACCTCTATCCTTCTAGGCATACTCTCAATTAATTTCTGGCAATCCTCAGCTATGATCTTCCCCCATTCCACTGCTACTCTCTCCCAAAGCTCCCATACTCCTTTAGGGGGTTTTCATAGGCTTGAAGCTTTTTCTTGAGTGTTCCCCAGAGATGTTCAATGACATTGACATCAGGAGACTGTGCTGGCCAGTCAAGAACATTGATGTTATGTTCTTCAAACCATTCTTTAGCTCTTCTGGATGTGTGCTTGGGATCATTATTCTGTTGGAAAATGATATCTTCTTCATCAATCCCTGATTCTGCCAAGCTAGGCAGCAAGTGGTCATTTAAAATGTCCACATACTGCTCAGCATTCATCTTCCCCTCAACCTCAGCAAGCATTCCCACACCATTCCATCCCATACAGTCCCATTAACCTCTCTGTCTGTTAGGCCATCTCCCTTCTTTTTCCATACATATACCTTCTCATCTGACCCAATCCTATTGATTTTGGTCTCATCTGACCATATAACATGCTTCCAGTCCTCTACAGTCCAGTGTTGATGAGCTAAGGCAAAGGCTAGTCTTCTCTGCCTATGTTTGATGGAGAGAAGAGGCTTTTTCTTCTTTGTTACTGCCTTGAGATGAGCTGCCTTGAGAACATTCCTCACAGTTTGTGAAGAGACAGGGGTAGTGATGGGGCAGGGGGGGAGGGTGCCACAACTCTGAAATATGATTTTTATGGAGGAAATAAGCATTGCCATCACATTCAGATGGTTAAATAGCCTTGGTCTCAAGTTCTATTTGAAGCCGGCCAAGTCACATGGAGGCTGAAAAAATCAATCATTTACACAAGCAAAAGTGGTCAATTCAAACACAGGGAAGCAACTTTGGAATACAACCTTGACAGATCAAATGGTTGTTGCTGCTGGATATATATTGGTTTAATCACCTCAGTAATTAGTCTGAGACCAATCCATGCAAGTCATATGAAGGCTGAACAGTTGACCTTGGGATGGTTTATAACTCTGAAGCATGATTTTTTGCACCAAACAAGCATTGCCATCACATTTAGATGATTAAATGACCTGATGTATCAGGTTCCATCTGAAGCCAGGCAAGTCAAATGGATGCTGAAAAAATCAATCATTGGGTAGGCAGCATTACAGGGGTGACACTGCTCACATAAGCAAAAGCGATTAATTTGGACACAGGTGGGCAACTTTACAACAACTTGACTTTGATGCATCAAATTCAAATTGTTGTTCCTCCTGGTTCAATTGCTTCAGAAGTAAGCCTGAGATCAAGCCATTTGAATCATACAAGGGCTGAAATTTTGACTTTGGGTGAGGGCCTTGGCACAACAGGAATTTATAACTCATAACTCATGGCTCATGGCTTTGGAACATGATTTTTTGCACCAAACAAGTGTTGCTGTCATTTTCAGAGGGTTCAATGACTTCTGGAATGAGTTCTATCTGAAGTCAAGCAAGTCAAGTGAAGGCTGAAAAAATCAATCTCAGAGGGTGAAGCATCATGATGGGGCAGTCAATTTTTGAACACAATTTTTACACATGAAATGGGCATTACCACTAGATTTATATTTTTCAGTGACCTCAGAAACAAGTTCAAGATCATGCCATATGGGTCATATGAAGTCCAGAAAAATCAGTCTTAGAGGGAAAGACAGCATGACATAGGTGGTTAACTTTAGAACATGATTTTTTGGACAAACTGAGCATTTCCAGTGCATTCAGATGGTTTTATAATCTTGAGAATGAGTCCTAATTAAAGTTGGATGACATGTACAAAGGCTGAAAAATCAACTGTAGGGTGAGGGCCTCAACACAACATGGAATTTATAACTTTGGAACATGATTTATCTGAAACGATGAGTGCTGCTGTTGGATTTAAAATGCTCATTAACCCATAAAACAAGTTCCATCTGAAGCTGGGCAAGTTGTGTGAAGTCTGGGTGCAGTAGGCAGGAGGAGGTAGCACGACTCTGGAACATGATTTTTTTGGACCAGATGAATGTTACCATTGTGTTCAGATAGTTTAATAACCCCAGAAGCAAGCTCTGTTTGAAGTTGAGCAAGTCATATGAAAGCTCAAAAAATCAATCATTGGGTGAGGCAGCATGACAGGGGTGACATTGCTCACATGAGCAAAAGCGGTCAACTTGAAGATAGGTGGACAATGGCTAATAATTTGGACTCCATTTATGATGGACAAATGACCACGTTTGGTGGTAATGGATCACAGGTGTATCACAGTCACTAAATGGGATTCCATGACAGCCTTCACTCTTGGATCAGCCAATGGGAAAACTGTGATTCCTTACATCCACTCACTAGGCTTTGGGATGGCATGCTCAAAAATTGAGTGAGACATAGATGGAAAGAAGAGGAAGTCTTTCTGACTCCAGGACAAGAAACCATGCTCCAGGAGCTACAAAGTGAGCTGAAGAAGCTACAACTAGTGACTGCTACCAAATCACCCATTCTTGCTGTAGAGGCAGAAAGAGGTCCGGAAATCCATTGTATAAGCAGCAAGAATGGGGATGTAAGCTAAGGGATGTGAAAGTAAGTGAAGCCTCAAGCCTTGCTCTGACTAAGCAAGTGAGGCTTTTGGATGAGCTGCTTGCTTTAATGGCACAATTTGATTTACATTGTTCAATTACCTTGGGAATAAATCTGATATCACACAATGCAAGTCATATGGAGGCTGATATAACTGATCTTTGAGTGAGGCAGCACAACTGGGAGTGGCAAACTTTGGAACATGGTTTTTATAGATGAGATGAGAACTTCTGCTCCATTTACATAGTTCGATGACAATAGATAAAATGCAAAGATCAAGTCATAAGCACAGTTTATCTACTCAAGTTGCCTGTACTGATGTAAATACCCCTTGGTATGACAATGGGTTTTTGCCCATTTGAGCTCTGTAGTTGAAAAAGACTTATACCAAATGGAGTCCTGGGGTGAGATTCACTTCAACCAGGTAAATCCTTCCTGATCATGCCAGGGCTTAACAACTATCTTATCTCTGACTTGGAACAGCATTCTCCCCTCCTTGTTCCTATTTCTTGAGCCAGGGCCTAGTTAGAGACACTTTAGGGTCAAGCACCACCTCTTTAGGCATAGCAACTAGGTGGCCAAAGACCAAACATTAATCTTCCCCTCTACAGATTTGTTGTTTACCATACCACTATCAGTAACACAACAAGAAGAGAACTAAAACAATCTTCTAATGTTGGATGTCTTCCGTCATCCATGAGGGTCAAACCATTGTTATTTTCCTTTGTACATGGAGCATGCAAAACTTGAGGGACACCCACAATTGTCATATCCCACAATCCAGACCCACATTCCATCATATTCCCACGCCTTCCAAGCCTATGTCTGGACCACACTTCATATCCAACTCATTCCCAGATCCCCTTCCGCTGTGTGCTCCACACCTCAGCAGGATCGACTATGCTCTGGATTTACCCCTGAGCTCTGGACCATCGGATCTCCACTGCTAGCCTGAACCATAACCCCCTGTCCCATCCACCCTATGTACACTCCATCCAGCAAGACATTCGGACTTCACCTTGTCTCAGATTCCGGACTCTATCCACCTTCTCATATCCCGGTCCTGTATCCACCTTGTCTTCCAGATCCCCAGATCTCCAGACCTATTCCCACCCTCTGTCCAATATCCTGTGCCTATCCCCATTTAGGTATTCTCTGCTTTCTGGCTTTCGGTTACCTCTTCTTCCATCTTGCTTATTGATCCTTGTATGAGTCTTCATCTCCGAGTTCATTTACTTATGTTCCATCTTACTTACTAATGTGTTTCCACATGCTCATACATAGCCTTGCTCCTTTGCTTACTGATCCCCTCAGATGCTGTTCAGTATATAACCCCTGTAGATACTCCTGTAGTTCCTTAGTCTGAATATTGACTTAGACTTGCCCAATCCTCTCTCAGACTTTGGTCCACCTAAGTCTGTCCTACCCATCAGGCCTAGGGATTGATTCCCTAGGCTGGAGCTCCACCTTTCTGGCACTTACCCTCTTTCCGAACTTAGGTCCAATCCCTGTCTCTCTCACTCTACCTTAGGATAGTCTACCTCTGTTTGTTTCTATATCAGACTTTGTCCAATGTAGCCCCTATTCCTTCCGGACCTCCGGACCTCCTGTCCCTTGTACCTCCAGGCATCCTGTCCTTTGGACATTCCATCTCCTAACCCTCAGACATCCTGTCCTTCTGTCCTCCATCCTCCTGTCCTCCTGTCCTCCTGTCCTCCTGTCCTCCTGTCCTCCTGTCCTCTTGTCCTCCTGTTCTCCTATTCTCCTGTCCTCCTGTCTTCCTGTCCTCCTGTCCTCCTGTCCTCCTGTCCTCTTGTCCTCCTGTTCTCCTGTCCTCCAGTCCTCTGGACCTTCAGACCTCCTATCCTTCCATCCTGTTTCCTGTAGAAGTATTACCTTGCAGTGGGAACTCTCCTGAGCACTTCCTGCATTCCTCCGGAACTCTCCCACGCTCCTCCAGATGTTTCCCACGCTCCTCTGGAAGTCCTCTAGTGCTCTCCAGCAGAGTAGCC